CTCCGGAAGGTCTCCAGCCACTCGGTGCCATCGACGCGACACCCGCGGAGACAGCGCCAGATCCTGTTTCGGACGAAGAATACACACCATCCGTCGCTGCAGACGACGTGAGCGAGCCAGTCGAGTCCGTCGAGGATGCTTCTCCTAGGTCCAGTGCCGTTGGGTCAGAGACCGCTGAGGCATTCGCGGGGGGCATTCCGCCTCATCCAGATGACGACAAGACGCTAATAGAGCTTGCCTATGATGGTGATGAAGCACGAATAGCGGATGACCCTACCATGCTAAAGAAAGCTGCGTTCGAGGAACCGCATATTCTAACACACTATCCCAAGAATCCCTTTTGTCCAGTTTGTCAGATCTCGAAGTCAACTTCTAAGAGAGTCTCACGCAAACCTGATGTCAAAGATGACGACTTCATAGACCCACCAAAAGGTCCATATGAGCAGTTGTCGACTGACGACGTCATAATGGCAAAAGGAGAGGACTTCGCCGGCAAAGGTGTAGGTGGGGTTAAAGCATTTCATGTAGTCCGAGACACCTACTCGGGTGCTAGAATAGCATACCCCATGAGTAAGCGTGATGCCAGTACCCACTCCAAGAACTTCCGCCATTTTCTAGGCCTGAAGGCTAACGAGGTAGCTACGCGCGTCCTTGTTAAGATGGACGAGGCTGGGGAGTTGGAACAGGCTGCACATGAGGTTGGGTTGATTCCGGAAACGTCCTTGCCAAACAGATGGCCCCATAACGCCATGATGGAAAGAGACATCCGTGAAGAAAAGGAGTGCTGCAGAGCAATCCATCTTCAATCTGGGTTGCCATATTCCTTTCACACCCACTCATATCCCTTCGCATGTCTTTCCATGAGTTTTGACAGACCGTCAGCTTTGGAACCCGCAAAGACACAGTGGGAGGCGCTCACTCGCAAGCCCTTTGACGGCATGAGGCATTCATTTGGTCAACTGATGTACTACCGTGACAAGCGGGTATCTAAGCGCACCTTAGAGCCTAACATGTCCCCATGTTTGTTCTTAGGCTGGCGAATTGATGCTGGTTTTCGGTATCGTTATGTTGTTCGTGTTCTTGACTACATGGATTATAAAGTCAGTGAACATGTCAATGTCCAAGAAGTCCCCGAAGCTGAAATCTATGTTGAAGATGGTCCTCCATGTTTTCCAATGGCCTCTGTTAAGCTTGCGCATTTGAAGGGAGGTTCTTTAGGAGTCCTCGACGACCTTGCACGTCTTGACATGCCGGATATCCCCATGAAGGAAATCCCTTTCGGGCTGGAGGGAGCCGACGCCGTACCACCAACTCCCATGGACCCTAAAACCAGGGGGGTGTACATCACTTTGGATCGCATCATCCGGTTTAGCGAAACCCCAGGGTGTAAAGCGTGTGAGAAGAAAACACGATACCACACGCCTGCATGTAGGAAACGTTTTGCCAAACTCGTTGACGAAGAAAGACGCGACCTTCTTGCCAAAAGAAGGGAAGGCATCACCGTGGAGGAACTTCCACCGCCGGAGCCCGAAACCGCGCCTCCGACGGATTCATCCGAAGGTGTCACCGAGGATGAGCCACACGTCATCGATGCGACTCCGACTGTGATAACGGGGCTGTCGCTCTCGCCACATACCACATACAGGACACAACTCATCCACACTCGTCCTGAGAGTGGAGTCCCGGTGTTTGGCATGCCATCGACAGCACAACCAACTCAAGTTTCTAAGTCTAAGAAGAAGAAGAAGAAGAAACCGCGTAAGGCGCGGCCTGGCCGATGCATGTTCGAGTTTGCATGTGCCTCGGATTCGCAAATGCACGAGACTTTCCTGGAGATGGGAATTCCCCACATTGCCCTTTCAAAAGAGCACCTCAATCTAGACGATCCCCAAATGCAAGCGCAGTTGCATCACCATATAAGCACCTGCAAAGAGATTCCTGATTTATGGGCCTCAATCCCTTGCACATCAGGGTCTCCTTGGCAGAGGGTAAATCGTATGAAAGGGGGGCTCAACTTCATGAAAAAACATGCACTTCAGGTTAAGGAGTCTAAACGTTTATTTGCTGAATTCGCTAAGTCTGCAGAGCTTACTTTAGCTCGAGAAGGCACTGTCACTTTCGAGTGGCCTAAAGGGTGTGAAAGCTGGCAACGCACAGACGTAAAACATTTCTTTGATAGCCACCCCGAGTTTGTTCCAGTCGAATTTGACGGGTGTGCTGTTGGTGTGAAATCCACTAAAGGCAGACCCATTAAAAAGAGGTGGCGCCTGATGACCACCAGCAGGGCTATCGTCGACATGTTCTCGCAGTTCCAATGCACCCATAAACCCCACGAACATGATCAAGCGGTCGGGTCGCAGACAGCTCGTACTGCATTTTACCCAAGGCAGATGACCGTCCAAATTGCAAAGGCCCTATACCCCAGCATGTCTTTTTCCCATCATGCCCCAGCCATGCCATGTTTTTCATGTACCCATGAACATGAGCACAGGGACAAAGAGCAGACGCTGAAACATGTGTCAGCCCTGTCGGGGATCGACGCTATGGCCATCGCAGTTGAGACAGACGACACTGTCGGGCAAATGGTAGAAAGTTTAATGGATATCAGTGCTCTTATGCACGAGGCCTACCAGATCCCTAAGACCGACGATGGTAAAGATCAGGTAGCAGCTTTGGTCACCAAGCTCCTAAGCCGTACCGAGATGCTCAGTGATCCTGAAGCCTTGCAAAAGGTTAAGGACGAGGCAGCCGATTTGGTTAACGAAGGTACTTGGGAGTATGAATCCGTTAGGGAGAAGGAGCACGTCCGTGCTGAGGCTAAGGCTTCCGGAGTCTCCGTCCACTTCGGTAAACTAATGACCATAGCCTCCATTAAATTTTACGAGCTGGCAAAGGAGTTGCAGAAAAAGAAAGGTAGGATTGTCTACCGAGGTGACTGCGCAAAGGACGAGCATGGCGCAGCAGCCGTCTATGAGGAATTAGGCGCAAACCCGACTTCGGTCCAAGGGTTGAACGCTTGCCTCGCCTACGGGTCACTGCCTGGTAACCTGTGCACCGCCGCGGATGCGGTGAAGGCATATGTGCAAGCAACACTCAAGTCCAAGTACAAAACTTGGATCGAATTACCACCTGAACTTCGACCCGCGTGGTGGAAGAACAAATTTGTTCAACCAGTGGTCCTTCTCGTCAAGGCGCTGTACGGACATCCCGACGCAGGAGGGATGTGGGAACAGCATTTGAAGGGCATTCTTAAGAAAATGGGTGGCGAAGAAATTCCAGAGTTCCCCGGTAACTTCTGGTTTTCTGGTCCTCGTTTAATGTTATCCACATACGTTGACGACCTCACTTTGGCAGGCCCACGGGAGAACCACCAAAAGTTTTGGTCAGAACTCACTAATGTTGTTAACGTTGAACCACCCGAGCCTATTTACAGAATGCTAGGAAGGAACCATATCTACGCAGTAGTCCCAGATTCAGGAAACACCGAGACCGCTGCTTTGCGCGGTAGTGCTGACGCCCTAGTCTTCGACATGAAAGATTACGCGCAGCAAACCATCGACCTCTACAAGTCGGTGGCCGGTGTCGATAAAATAAAGTCAGCCCAGACGCCATTCCTCGCCGACGGCACTTTCACCACGGCTGATGAGGAGTCGCCCGGAGAGCTCGCACCAAAGGCATGCTCTATCCTGATGAAAGCCCTTTGGCTTGCCAGGTTAGCACGGCCTGATATACTGAAGCCGATCAACGATCTGGCCACCAAGGTGCAGAAGTGGACCCGTGTCCATGATAAAAAGCTACTACGGCTCATTCAGTATATTCAGCACTCACTAGAATATAGGCTAACCGCCGTCTGCGGCGATGATGCTAGTGAGCTGTGGCTAGAACTTTTCGTGGACGCCGATTTCGGTGGGGACCAACATGACGTGAAGTCAACCTCAGGGGGGTACTTAGTACTTAAGGGCCCTAACGCCCACTATCCACTAGCATGGGTGTCAAAACGGCAAACCTCCACGTCCAGATCCACTACAGAATCGGAAGTAGTGAGCTTGGCCTATTCGTTATATCAAGAAGGGCTACCTTCGCTACAGCTATGGGATAAACTTCTTGGACGGGACGTTAACCTCGTCATACAGGAAGATAACCAAGCCACGATTCTTGTAGTAAGGAAAGGCTTTTCCCCTAAGCTACGACACATCAGCCGAACACATAAGATAAACCTCAGTTCCTTAAAGGAATGCATCGACGACCCATCTGTCGAAATCAAGTACATCGATACGAATGAACAAGCTGCAGACATTTTCACCAAAGCGTTGACAACACAAAAGTGGTTCAAAGCGCTATGCTTGCTTGGCATCCGTACAGATTTAAAGTGCTTAGTCCCATCTAAGACAGATAGGAGCCTTCCGAGCAGTTCGAAGCCTTCGTAGGTCGTCGAAACCGCTGCCACCCGGCGCGGTAATTCATGCATGTACAAAGGAATGCTGCCCCAAAACGGGGAGGGGGGAGTCATTTTCTGTGAACCCCTAGTATGTAACAGCATTCACTACATGTCTACTCATCTAGCTACGGTTCACAAGCCACATGTAAAACACATGTGCACACCGTCGCACACTTGGCTCAAGGAAAAGGCGCACCCGCGGCCTTTTCTTTCAGGGTGCCGTGTTGTGTCCACTGTGTGGGCCACACACCTTCGTCGCCTTCGTGCTTCCGCACTCTGCACGTTTTCGTGCCTTTCGTTCGTTCGCCTTCGCGCTTCCGTTCGCTCGGCTCGTTGCAACCACGGGGTCTCGTCCTTCGGATTCGCCTCGTGTAATAATAAACATAGACCGTGCCTCCAGGGATCTGGCATACTTCTTCTATCACCTTCCGGTTGAAAGGGTTGCCTGGGCGTTTCCCTACGCCCCACCTGGTTTGTACACTCAATTAATATAGATTCGAAATCAAAGATTCCTAGGCAGCTTGGCCAGTTTCCTAGGCAGGTCGGCCTCGTTTGTAGTTAGGTATCAAGATGCCATGGAGGCGGAGATGAACCGACTTCAGGATGAGCTTCAGGAGGGCATGAAGGAGGAGCGAACCTATGAAAGATGCTCGGGATGCTTGGGATGCTTCCTGTATATAGCTGTTGAGATTGAGATACCAGCATCATCTACCATCATCTGCCATGGCTGTATAGCAAGACACCCGCATGGAATTGAAGAACCAACCTGAAGACTAGCATGACTAGAATGGTGGGTGTTCCAAGCAACGAAGAGGAGATGGAGGATCTGAACTCGAAGATCGAGGTCGGGCCGCGAACAGCGAGCTTGCCGTGATGACCTGACTGAGTCTCAGATATCTGTGACCACTGTGTTGCTTGAGCTGGGCGGTTCGGTCCTGAAATTTTGTGGGAAGAATTCAGTATACTACCACTAATTACTATATCTAATTGCCTCATCTTGAGACCACTTTGGATGGATTCTTATTAGATTTTTTTAGGTGAAAGCAAAAGCACTCTTTGCGAACTGTCCATGTTGATTGAATGTTGATTGAATCACGTTTTGCCACCATATCATCAAATATGCAGAATCGCATTTCGGGATCAAAGCAAGCAAAAAGAGCTCCGGCCATGGACTTTTGCAAACTGCCTCCCTTGGGAATGGCTTTTGTGACAGGCCATGCTCACTTCAGTGAACTGCCTCATCGAGCGTCAGGGACTCGGGTCAGTGCTGGCTTCTGACTGCGGTGTAGGCAGTGGTCAGATGAGGGTGAAACAGCGTGAAACAGCCAGTAGTCTGAGTAGTCAGTGGTCCCAATGATCAACCAGTCCCGTCCCGCATGGTCGAAAGTTTTAAGAGCTGCTTAGTCAGTTGGTCCCCGCCACAGTTGGACCGTGGACAGCTGGGAGAGTGACAGGTAGGAGCCGGGCCAAATGGTTTCACGAGGAATTCATCCAATCTCCACCGAGAGGTTCCGGATCGTGCCGGGTATTTGGAGACGGCAAGGACCACCTGGCGGTCTATCTTTGAACACTTCCATAAAAGACTTCATCATCTTCATCCATAACACCTGCCCGCCCATAGGGCAGCAAGGCACGGTCGGCCCTTCTTCCACCGCCCGGTCCACATGTGCCGCCCGGTCCTCGGTCCCTCCCGGTCCACCGGCGGAGATCGGACGATCTCAGGGATCGACCGTCCGGTGCCGGAGCTCCGAGAGCAGCTGCGCTGCGTGGTGGAGATCTCCCGGAGAGGCCGGCGGGAGCGAACCGGCCGGTGACGGTGGCGGAGGCTCTAACGGATGGGGTGAAGAGTTGGAGCGAAGAAGGAGATCGTTGAATTGCTTGTATGTTTTTTGTTGGGGGGGTGCAAGTGGTTGTGCATGATGGTGATGGATGATGGCAAGCAAAACTGGAGAACCACCCGGGGGTCGTCCCCCGGGGGTCGTCCGGGATCACTGGAGGGTTGTCTTTGGAAAGAGTTCTCAAACATCGCCGGCTCCCCGCTCATCGCGGGACCCTGCCGCATCGGCACAGGTCACTTGGAAGTCAATCTGAGCAACGGAGTCTGGACGCAAAGGTGTTGGTGCAAAGGGTTGCGAAACATCAAAGCTCGGTGTTTAATAAATGGTATCCTTGACATGCTTGGTGAACCTCTACTGTGGTCCCAAGAAAGTGGAGAGAATCCTTTGTGCAATGAACGCATTTTATCAGGGCCTTGAGGGCATTGTTCCGTTTTATTCACTTTTCAGACCTCGGCGGTGACTACATTTTGTTGTTTGTGTGTTTTGCTTCATGTTTGTCAATCGCCACTGCTTCCTTGACCACCACCTACTTTATTTTTTCTTTCAGGGGCTTTGGAGGGTCTTGGTCAGTCCGCACATAAGTCGTGCGCACATGTCCGCGATCAACGCAACCCAAAAACGCACGCGCGATCAACGCACATACGCACACGCGATCGACGCACATAGCGTGCAGATATGTTTGAGGAGATGTGAAGCTCAAACGTGGCATCACCTTCAAAAAGAAGAATCCTGGCGATTCACCCAACGCCGAGTTCGAGAACGAAGACGATGCCACGGTCCCTTGGTGCGAGACGATGTGGCCACGACAGCCATAAATCGTCGCTGTCAGAGAAGATGGATAATCTTGGTATACCTTTGAAAAGATCTGGGAAGACTTTCGTAAGTGAGTTACTCAATTCGATGCCGCCATCAAGCTCAACTTAGCAATGTGAAGGTGTCCCATCTCAAGTTGAAGGCACAGCTTCAAAGTTCTCTCTATAATTTCAGTGGCATCAGGGCAGGTATCAGCTACTCGTATGTTATGTGGTAGAGTTCAACGGTTTGCTTTCATGGTCTATGCAGATATACAGCCTTTGCTTCTCTATCGTTGACTTAGGAGATTCTACAAGATATTGCAGACCTTTGGAAGATGTTCAAGGTCCCTGTCCTCGTGGAGGGCCACACGAAAGACATCGGCTCCGGCACTGACCAGTTCTGGCAAGAGGTGGCAAATAGCCGCGTCGCCCAGCGTGGCAAACAGCAACGCTTTGAAGTTCTGTAATAGCCACAGGTTTGCAGATCCACGGTGGGATTCCAGCGGAGACATATCTGTCCGTGGGTGAGATGTGAGTACTGTATACGTATTTTAGTTTATTGATAGGGAGAGACCCTGGCCCAATGGGTAGACAGGTCTATTTTCCTTTTTCCAGCGGGTTCGATCTGGGAAATCTTCCCATTTTAATGTGGTAAGAGAACTAATATCCTGAAATCAGAAAATCCTTTGTCCTCATCTCAGAGTGAAGAGCAGTACTGTGCATGGATGTATTCACCAAATTGCATGCGGCATGCCCAATATTCAGTCTTGTTGAATCTTAGCTTGCGACCTTAAAAACTGCCACTGAAGAGCTTTGCAAGCAGAATTTTGATTGATGTTTCGACACCGCGTCGTCCTCTTGAAAATATTCTATGGTAGTCTCCGCCCCCCTAACTGGCACGCGCAATCGACCTGGTTCGACCCAGTTCTATGCTGTCAAAGACAGACACACCTCATCCAAACTTCCTTCTGAAGCAGGGAACTAGGGAACAGGTCCAACACTCGTGGTTCCTGATTTCAGGTTAACTCATAAACATGTATACATCGTTACATCATAAACTACAATTCGACCAGAATCGGTCCCCAATAGAATGCCACTAGATGGGTTTGAGATGGTTTGAGGATATACGACGTTGATATCTCTTTTTTGGAAGGAATTGATGTTTCAAAGTGTTTGGTCTTCAACTCTTGGAGTCTCTTGGAATCCTTCGCATCACGTCCTTCGAGCTTGAAAGGGCACTTCTTTCGCAGCTGACTTAGGCTGCACTTTGCGCTGCTACGTTGGGAGATGCTCGACTGGTCATTTGGGGAACTTTGCGCATCATGCGTCCAATGCTGGGGAAAAATCGTTGACCGTACCGGCAAGTTGTCGGATGCATCGAAAGATTCCGAAGAAATCATCACCTCCCAAGGTGGATTTGTGACGCGCTATGAGTTAGCAGGGTGACCAATCATGAAAGCCTCACACAAATCTGGATGTTTGGGAAATTTTGGGAAGATGACACCACCTAGGACACCACTGTGGTTTCAGGAACATCCTCGTTGTGGGATGGGACAAACAAACATCATGTTCTACCTAAATGAACCAGCGAAGTTCATCCACAGAAGCTGGTTCTTTCATCCAATTACCGTACCCCTCTCAGAATTCTTCACACCCACCCCAACATGAGCCCCATCATGGCTCCAACGCTTCTGCCGAAACTTCTGCCGATGCCAACCGTTTTCTTTTTCCACCGAATCGGTCACCAACGACGCCGTCCAACGACTCCCCTTCAGGTCATGGGAGTGAATCTGGGTCAGGTCGTCTCCGTGGGCAAACCCGGCAAGTCAGGCGCTGGAGACGCGTCGTCCGTCGTCCGTTCGTCACACGTGTTCGGCGGATCTGGAAGAAGGCGGATCGGGGCGATCCTGAGGTCGAGGAAGGTGGACACCAATGTGGAGTCACTAGTCCTTGTTCACGTAGGCAAGGAGGCCATTGCTATAATAGGTCGGAGGCCATTGCTACTAGGGTGGAGGCCTGGGGTGCTACAGGGTGGAGGCCATTGCTATAATAGGTCGGAGGCCATTGCTACTAGGGTGGAGGCCATTGCTACAATAGGTGGGAGGCCATTGCTACTAGGGTGGAGGCCATTGCTTTCATGGGTCGGAGGCCATTGCTACTAGGGTGGAGGCCATTGCTACTAGGGTGGAGGCCATTGCTACTAGGGTGGAGGCCATTGCT